GATTTAATCCCCCAATAAAGTTGTCTAAGAAGAAATCATTTAGCAACTTATCATTGCTCTGCAACAATAAGCTTCTCAAATGTTCAAGTTTGTCCATATAGTCATCTAGGGTTGATATTTGTTGTAATTTATTAAAATTATCCACAACTGTGCCCCCCAATTCCTCATTAAACTGAGCAAACATAGCTATAATAAACAAATCAAGGTCCAAATCATGAGGTCGGCCGGCCCAAAGGTGATGGCCTCTACTCTACTCTTCTTGGTGGGGGAGTTGATATTGAACCCACAAAGGGACCTTCTTCTGTGCTGCGGGGGTGTCTCTAGTCTCAGCACCCCCAAAGGGCGACACATGGCGGATGTGCGTCGATTACTCAGATCTAAACAAAGCCTGTCCAATGGATCCATATCCGGTCCCGAGGATTGATTTGTTGGTAGATGAAACTGTAGGATGTGAACTGCTCAGCTTCATGGATGCCTTCAGAGGGTATCATCAGGTATGCATGCACCCTGACGATGCGGAAAAAACGGTGTTCGTCACGGCAGATGGCGTGTACTGCTACATAGTCATGCCATTCGGCTTGAGGAACGCCATGGCCACATTTCAGAGGATGATCGGGATGTTGTTAAAAAACGTACTCGGAAAAACGATGGAAGCTTACATGGACGACATCCTTATCAAAAGAAAAAAGGAGGATCACATCCAGGACCTGGAGAGGGTCTTCACCATAATGTAGGGGGCAATATGAGGCTCAACCCGAATAAATGTGCATTTGCCATCAAGGGCGGCAAGTTCATCGGCTACATGATGAGTGAGCGAGGAATCGAACCCAACCCGGAAAAGGTAAAGGTGATCATGGACATGGAGGCCCCCAAGAACCTCAAAGACGTGCAGAGATTTATCGGGCACCTGGCAGCACTGAGCCGCTTCATGTCCAAGCTGGCGGATAAGGCGATCCCTTTCTTTCAGATCATGAAGAAGGCGAGTCCTTTCGAATGGACCCCAGAGTGCCAGGCGCCCTTTGAAGACTTTAAAGCTTACCTCTCCTCTCAGCTCGTCCTAAAAAAGGAGGACCCAGGGGAGCAGTTGTACATGTACCTAGCAGTGGCAGATGTGGCAGTGAGCTCTGTGCTGCTCAAAGAAGAAGGGGGCGTTCAGCGGCCGATATATTTTGTGAGCAAGGCGCTGAACGGCCCAGAAACGAGATACACATTGATGGAGAAGATGGTCCTCGCCTTGATAGCATCCATCAAGCGCTTGACGCCGTATTTCCAAGCTCACCCTGTGACGGTTTACACCACGCAGCCCCTCGCCACAATTCTCAGGAATCCCATGGTTAGCGGCAGAATTACCAAGTGGTCCTTGATGATCAGCCAATATAATGTGGAATTCAAACTGAGGATGACAATCAAGGGACAGGCACTTGCAGATTTCATAGCCGAATGCACGGCGCGCACCGAGGACAGCACCCAGGATACCAATGACTTCGACAACTGGTGGGAGATGTACACCGATGGGGCCTCGAGTGCGCGAGGCTGTGGTGGAGGCGCGGTGATCACCTCTCCCGAAGGATTCAAAGCTTACTACTCCATGAAGTTTGCGTTCAAAGTCACCAACAATGAGGCTGAGTAGGAGGCGCTTATTGCAGGATTGAAATGCGTGAAGGCCTTCGGAGCAGCTCGTCTGAAAGTGAGAATGGATAGCCAATTGGTGGTTACCCAGATGAACGGAACAGCTGAAACCAGGTAGGAGAGGATGAAGGTTTACAAGGAGCTGGCAGAGGAACAGACCGCGCAGTTCGAGCAGGTGATAATTGACCAGATATCTCGGGTGGAGAACGCCGAGGCTGAAATCTTGTCCAATCTTCCATCTGATGACCCAACGACGAGCATCCCCCGGTACATAAAAGGGTTTGTTACGCATGAGACGCTCCTGACACGAGAACGCCGTTCAGCGCCTTGCTCACAAAATAAGTAAATAAAAAGTATCTATTTAAAAAATATTAATTGGGAGCGAGGATTGAATACAGCCCTTGATTTCATCTCGAGTTTCAATAGATTATACCAAGATAGCTCTATAATACTCCCTTTTTATAGTGCTCCAGTAGGTTAACATCAAATTCCTTAATAAAAATTCAGTTGAAATTTTTATTATTGTGTAACCATTATTGAATGTCATTGTAATGGAAATGCATAAGAAATGTGATATTTACAAATGAACCTCTCTTTTCTCGTTGATTGGAGAAGCAGTTCTTTTTGGGCAATATACTCATTTATTCGTTTTATTGATTTTCACATATTTTCAAAAACGTGGAAGAAGTTTTCTTTCACTCCTTCCACCTCGAAACTGTAAACCAAGGTATATATAAGAGACGAATGAGACGAATGCAAAGAGGAGAAGAGAAGGCAAGTTGTGTGGCAGAAGAGAGAGCGAGCAGAACTGGGCCGGTCCTAGCTAACACATCAAAGACCCTGTGCAACAATAAATTTGGGCCTTTTATTTGATGAAGTAAAAGCATACTACGTAATACATTTCACACTATATATTACTCCCTCCGTTCCCAAAAATACTTCCCACTTTCCTTTTTGGGCCGTTCCCAAAAATTCTTCCCACTTTCCCTTTTTGGACAATTTGTGTGGCTCACATTCATTTTACCTTTTTCTCACACAACCACAACCACACATTTCCACTTTATTCCACTTTCTTAATAAGCGTGCCAACTCAAACCGGGAAGAATTTTTAGGAACGGAGGGAGTAATAATAAATAATCAATTTCAGAGTAATATTATATGTCAAATTACAAGTTATTAATTAACAATTTAAAACTTTCAAAATAAAAGTATTCATTAACAAAATTCACTTTATTTTTAAAGAGATATTCTTTGAGCATATTTTTAGTATTGTCGTCTTGCGTCTTTTAGAACATTGGTTATAACTCATTTAAAATATGCTCAAAGAATATCTCTTTAAAAATAAAGTGAATTTTGTTAATGAATACTTTTATTTTGACAGTTTTAAATTTTTAATTAATAACTTGTAATTTGACATATAATATTACTCTGAAATTGATTATTTATTATCAATATATAGTGTGAAATGTATTACGTAGTATGCTTTTACTTCATCAAATAAAAGGCCCAAATTTATTGTTGCACAGGGTCTTTGATGTGTTAGCTAGGACCGGCCCAGTTCTGCTCGCTCTCTCTTCTGCCACACAACTTGCCTTCTCTTCTCCTCTTTGCATTCGTCTCATTCGTCTCTTATATATACCTTGGTTTACAGTTTCGAGGTGGAAGGAGTGAAAGAAAACTTCTTCCACGTTTTTGAAAATATGTGAACATCAATAAAACGAATAAATGAGTATATTGCCCAAAAAGAACTGCTTCTCCAATCAACGAGAAAAGAGAGGTTCATTTGTAAATATCACATTTCTTATGCATTTCCATTACAATGACATTCAATAATGGTACACAATAATAAAAATTTCAACTGAATTTTTATTAAGCAATTTCATGTTAACCTACTGGAGCACTATAAAAAGGGAGTATTATAGAGCTATCTTGGTATAATCTATTGAAATTCGAGATGAAATCAAGGGCTGTATTCAATCCTCGCTCCCAATTAATATTTTTTAAATAGATACTTTTTATTTACTTACACATCACTCACTAAATCATAGCGTACTTATTTAAACTAAACACATTGAAATTACCATTGTATGCGAAAAAAGAGATAATCTAATTGGTCATTTTGTAGATAAGTCGGATGTAGTTCAAAGAGGAGCATTTGAATCATTGACAATTATTATTTTACTTTTAGGACCGACTTATACTTTATATTCTTCAATTCACTTATTATATTCCAATTTTTTAAAATGTAGAATTCTAAAAAGTTATTTACTTTCATGTTTGATGAGATTATGATAAAAGTAAATGCACCAATTTAGTTTTCTCGTGCGTATGCACTGGTACTATACTAGTTATACATAGAAACTAGAAAAGAATAAGAACCTCCATCTTTCTTGTTTTCTTTCCAAATTTGACCTCTATTTTCTTTCTTATTTTCTTTCCCTAGAACCGTGTGATTGCATATATATGACCCAAAACACATCAAACGTCCCATATGGGAATGAGGGGATGGTGTAAATCATATTGAAATTGGTAGAGTTATTTCCATTTTAAACATAAACCATTAATTTTGATACAAGCTTTTACAAAGCCACTTGTTTTAGTAAGAAATAATCAAGAAAACAACTTACGGAGTACATGGGAACAACGGGATAAGCAAAAATTTGGCCGTTTTTACTTTTCCCACGAGGAAGACAAGCAAGATCAATTATGCTATATAAGTAGTCTAACATGGATGGGTAGGAAGTCTAGCGAGCAAGGTTGGTCTAAGTCCGGGAAAGAAGGTGAGGAAGACGAGTGAGAAGGAAGATAAAGGTATGGAAGAAATGAGTATACTCCGTCAAGTTAATGGATAGGCTATATTCGTTTAGGGGTAAAACAAATATTTAAAATTAAATTATTTAATTAATTTACTTCAGTGGCTGTGAATAGCAATTTTGTTGCTGTGAATAGAATTATCCATACAAAAATTATTATTGAACATTTTGCAAACGTCCAATAACAAAAACATAAATAATAAAAATTCCTGATTTATCAAACAATTTGAATGAAAAATGAAAATATAAGACTGTATCGAATTGACATTTAATTTTACTTGTAGTATGGACTAGGAACTTATGTTTTGTTTTCAATCCTAGATCAGATCAGACTAGACCAATTCAGACCAGACTTGTATAATTAAAAAAATACAAAGAGACCAGATCAATTCAGACCAGATCAGATCAGACCAGCTAATTACAGTCCAAGTAAGGACATTAGAAGTGTACAAACACTACTACGTCATAGTGTACTACACTAATATGAAGCATGTTTCTTCTTGCGGTGTTAATGCAGAAGTTAGATTAATGCACGAAACGAGAAGGCTGCTTTTGATTCTTTGATAATAACAATATCTTGAGTTGAGATTTTCATGATAGATTCATTCACTATGGGATATGAAATTACACAAATACCCTGTCTTTGGCAAGATAGACAAATAGTCTCTGCATATGTGAGTTTACAAAAACGATACCTACTCCCTCTCTGAATATCAGTATAAGACTTCCAAAAAAAGTAATCAATTTTAACCAAATTTTGATAAAGTTTATGAAGCTCCATCCATTATATAATTATCGAATTGCAGTTAAATCTGCCAAAAGAAGAATCAATATTTGAACTGTGTACTACATGAATTAACTTAATACTATCGTAGCATCCATAGGGAAGTCAATTCCCGCTTACGGACATGAGAGCAAGGAAGGTTGACAGAGACGCTATTATCTTCCAAATCAAAAACATACATGTTTCTGTCGTCGTCTTCCAAGAAATATATGCAATTGGCTCTCAAACCTGAGTTCTTGTCATTACTGTTAATGCAAAATATGCCTCCATGACATCCAAGGAAAATGGTACGTTCTCCTATACTCTTCATCTCCACCCATTTTCGGGCACATAAATCTGCTTTGAAAACTCTAATCTTTTCAACAGGGTAATAACTTGGGTAATGATTGGGGCGATTATATGTAGTTAGCCCAAGATAAATTTTGGCAACTAGTAGGATTTCACCACAACTTTCAGTAATATAGCCCCTCATCCGCAAGTCATATTTAGTTCTTGATGACAGCTTATAAGTAAACTTATCATTTATCAATTCATGAAATTCAACATCATTTCCATTGAAGTCTATACGTACCAATGTAGTGGTGTTCATCAACCCATACATCTTCCCATCGAAATTTGTCATGGACTCTAACCTCTCCTCTTCAAATGATGTTAATGTCTTCATCTTAAATTCGGTGTCTCCAATTTTGCAGAAGTCAAAAGACATAGTGTGGTCATAATCAACCAAGACAACGTAGCAATTAGGATCGCGAGGATTGGACGAAATACAAGCAAAATTACGCCTTAATAAACCATAATCTGGATCCGGGCGACGATACATGCATAGTTCTGATTTCGGGAGCTGGATCATCTCATGTGAGTAAAGATTTGCAAGCGCAACACCTCGAGTGTCACAATCTTGCAATACCATCCATCCATCCCTATTGGCGCTGTCGCTGATCACATACTTGCTATCCATGAAAGATGTGTCAATTTTGTAGTAACACTGCTTTGTGATGTTATAAAGTATACCATTTTCATTTTGATGGAAAAATAGCAAAGGCTGTTGCGGTGCTGGAAAATAAGGGTGATGACACAACTTTCCTTCAGCATTACTTGATGTTAACTCCATAGCTCTATCACTCAAGTCAATGGCTGTTACCTGAAAGTGAGTAATATTCCCATAACTGAGTTATTTCCTATTATTAAAAAAAAAAAAAAGGCACACACGTTCAAAGGGAAATTGCATCTGGGGCTTGGATTCAGTTTCAAAAGTGCAAAACTACTGACTCAATATACGAGCTCTATACCAAACAGATTATAATAATTAAAGTTCAACTGATCCAAACAGACAAATTTGTAAGACCCACCCAACAATTGCACGCAAAGTATAGATGATTTGCTATTAGGCTTATTTTAGAGTTTTTGCCACTTTTGGTCCTGGACTATTATGTAATAGAGACTTCTACTTTTTCCATTTTTAGTCCTCAACTATTGTAATAGAGACACTTTTAGTCTCCGACTTTAAGATTTCACATATTTAGTCGTATTATCAGATTGACACTTTTAGTCCTCTCATTACGATTTTGACACAATTAATGGAGGACTAAAAGTGACACTATTATAATACTTGAAGGATCAAAAGTGTCACTTTTACGAAAGTTGAAGGACTAAATGTGGAAATTTTCAAAGATGGGTACCAAAAGTGTCTATGACGCAATAGTCGAGAACTAAAAATGAAAAAAATTAAAGTCGAGTACCACAAATGTCAATGACGTAATACTCGTAGAATTCATTAATAGTACTACGCAGAATCAGATGAATACATGAACGGTTGCTATTTTAAACTGTACTTTTCAGCCTGATAAACATGCTCTTCCTAGCTACCCATTGCTTGTCCGACATCCTCGATCAATTGGAATTATTTGCAGAAAAAACGACCAATTCCACATGTTGTCAAATTGAACTAACGATTTATGGTCATGAGCGATTAGAGGCGTATGCGTTTAACGCCGTATGAAAACCTACGATTTTTTGCGCAGTCTAACTGTCTAAGCTTACGCGTGACCGATGAAAATTCTATAATGGAAAAAACTTACCCCAATCATCTCGTATCAGTGCCTCTGCTATTCTCTTGTTCTGCAACCGTCACAACTCCTCCTCCGCCTCTATAACCGCCGAACCTCCGCCTATGACAGATTTGGAATATATCAGATGAGAAACACACGAAGAAGAAGAAGAATAAAGTGTTCTTGTTATTGTGCCTTTGCAATTGCACGTCGCTCTCTTATACAATGAGTATACCGATATTATAGTATCAGTCAACAATAAGGTAAAGAGGAAGTTTCCTAGTTTTTCTTTTTCTTTTTTTTTTGATTTATCGTGAGGAAGTTTCCTAGTTAATTACTACAATAATGGAGAATAAAAACATAACATAAATACTCCGTAAATATATTCCAAATCTGTAGTGATACGAGTTCGTATATCCTACACCCGGTGTACAGGTGAGAACCGTACATCCGGGTCTATTTCTAATTTAAATGAAGCTCCAGGCCAATTTCAACAAAGTTTAATGAATCTGACGAAGGCCCACAAAAAAGGCTCAATTAAATAAGAAACACAACTCATTTAACTGATACAACCTAATTTTTTTCGGTGCCATTTTTGTAGTTTAAGCGAAAAATCACGGCTACCGCTAAATGAGCAATAGTGTACTTTAAGTGAGCATCTGACCTATTTTATTGAGTATTAAGAGATTAATAATGAGTATCACGATCTCTGATTCATATCTTCTAATTCTTTTTCTTTTTCTTATTTTTTCTTTTATAAAAACTTATTAAATTATATCTATAATTCACTCTTATTAATTTCAATGTGCGAGTCTAATGTAATACGATACTTTTGAAATATACATTGATATGACATTGTAAAAATGAGTATAACATCAGTACCAAATGAGCATACACAACTTACAAAGTGAACATTAATATGAAAATCGTAATGTTTTTTGTTAACATCACGACATTTTATTGAATATCAAACCTTCGCTCCGCTATTGAGATGAAAATCACAATTTCTTGTGAATGAGAATTAATGAACTTGTCATGAGAATCAGACCTATTATGTTGAGTATTAGGAGTCCAATATATGTGAGCATAAGATCAGTACCAGATGAGCATACGCAACTTACAAAATGAACATTAATGAATTTGTTAATTGGTTTGTTAGTTGAGCATACTAGAAAGGACCGTGTGAGGAATTGAATGAGACAATCAGACAAAGGGTGGGAGTAGCACCTATTGAAGATAAGATGCGGGAGTCGCGCCTACGGTGGTTTGGTCATGTGCATAGAAGACCGAGTGATGCACCTGTCAGACGAGTTGAGATGTGTGGAGAAGGGGCAGGGAAGAGAGGGAGAGGAAAGCCCAAACAGACGTGGGTTAGGGGAGTCAGAAGTGATATGCTTCTTCTTGGATTGGATGAGGGTATGACTTTGGAGAGATCAAAATGGAGGGCGGGTATTCGTGTGGAGGAGTGATCTTGTATCATCTTTTCCCCTCTTTTTTTTCTTCTTCTTTTTTTTTCTTTTTCTTTTATATTTTTATCCTTATATATAAATATTACTTTATCCTTTTTATTTTATCTTTTATATGTATATTCATCTCTTTTATATTATTTTTTTTTATAATAGCTTATCTTTTTTATCTTTATTTTCTTTCTTTTCCTTTGGTGATATCATGTATCGATTCATGTTAGCCGACCACAATATCGTTTGGGACTAAGGCTTGGATGTTGTTGTTGTTGTGGTTTGTTAGTTGAGCACCACGATATTTTCATTGAGCATCAAACCTCCTCTATTGAGATGAAAATAATGGTTTCTGTTAAATGAGCATTAATGTACTTTTTTAATGAGCATGATACCTAGGGCAGTTTTTTAGGGGGTTCAATAGGTTATCCAGAACAGGGCCCCCAAATTTATGGGGCCCCAAATTTTTAAAATTTTATTAATATTACATAGTAATATTATATACTCCCTCCGTCCCGCTATGATTGTCCCATTTTACCATTTTGATCCGTCCCACTAAGATTGTCTTATACCTTATTTGGCAAAGTTTGTGTGGTTCTAAATCATTTCTACTTTATTCTTACTTTATCAATTCAATATCAACCACATAAACTCACTTTTATTAATAACCGTGTCACATTCTCTTGTCCCAAACTTAGGGGGATGGAGGTAGTATTAATCAGCCTAGTCGGCCTAGTCGGTCCTCAGTGTAGAGGACTAATCGGCCTAATCGGCCAAAAAATCGGTCTAGTCGGCCGACTAGGCGCTAGGCGTCCCTCAACCGCCCGACTAGCGCCTAGCAAGTTTTAGAACAATGATTAATACTAATAACTAAAATATAGTTACCTAGTAAGGAAGAAAAATGTAGATCCATTATTTTTTCGTTGGTCCTTTTACTCTTTTAGTTCTCTTTTAATCAGTATTCAATTGACTTGAGTATAAGTATTTAGATTGAGATTTTTTTAAAACTTTTTATATTATTGTGGGGGGCCGTTTTTACATTTTGAACCGGGGCCTCCAAATGGGCATTAGTATTCAATTGACTTGAGTATAAGTATTTAGATTGAGAATAGTATTTATCATTGATACTATTCTGTTGAGCATTAGTTTCATAAGTATTGATATGAAATTTTAAAATGGGCATAACACTACTCGTGAATGAGTATACATATATTATAAAATGAGCATTGAAAAATTCTAAAGATAATTTAAATTTTCTAATATGCTCATTTAAATATATTTAATGAGCATCGGACTCATAGAAATGAGCATATGACATATGTAACTTACAAGATGAGCATGACAATTGAATGTTTTGTTTGTTGAGCATCAATACATTTTCAGTGAGCATTAAACCTCCGCTATTGAGTATTACAATTTGCAATTGAGTATCATGATTTGTAATCTCGTGTCTATAATCAACTCCTATATAAATTTAAAGTAAATAGAGACTTTTAAAATATGCTTTGCTAAAAACATTTTAAAATGAACATAACGGAGTTACTAAATGAACATACATGATTTACAAAATGAGTATCCAAAAATTCAAAATCTCATTTGTGTATAATCATTTTTTAGGCGTTTTACTCATTCGAGTTTAAAGTAAAGCTCATTTCTAATATGCTCAGTATTAATATACGGAGTATAAAGAAAAAGAAAGAAGTAAACAACACATAAATTAAAGAGGAAAAAAAGTAAAGAAAAAAGACAAAATTAAACAAAACAAAGACCGAGTAGCTAACGGTAAAAATAAAGAAAAACATAAAAATAAAAAAGACAAAAGTAAAAACGTAACTATCGAAACTAAAAGGGTCCAAACTAAAAACGTAACTATCAAATCAAAACTAAAAGGGAAAACTGTCAAATAGGTCCTCGAACTTTCATAAAAAAGTCAATTAAGCCCTTTTATAGGAGACTTTGTCCGGTCGTCGCGATTTGGGGCGGTTCCCGGTGGAATTTTTTGATGAAATTTTTTGAGCATCTTATTCATCAAGTCTAGTTTACTCATACCAAATTTCAGTTAAAAATTTAATTGGGAGCGCATTCAAATTAATTCGAGAACGCAAAAATGCGCAGTTATTTTCAAGAATTAATTTCAATGTGTTCCCGATTAAATTTTTTGCTTAAATTTGGTATGAGTAAACTAGACTTGGTGAATAAGATGCTCAAAAAATTTCATCAAAAAATTCCACCGGGAACTGCCCCAAATCGCGAAGGCCGGACAGAACCTCCTATAGAAGGACTTAATTGACCTTTTTATGAAAGTTCGAGGACCTATTTGACAGTTATCCCAAACTAAAAGCGTAAGGAACGACTACCAGAGGATTGCGGCCGAAGAAAAGAAAGAAAAGAGATGGCTGCAGAAGAAAAAGAAAAGAAAAGAGATGATGGCGGAAGAGAAAAAAGATGGACGGTGGAAAAGAGATGATTCAGCAGAAGAAAGATGAGAAAGGTTTGAAGTTGGTATATAGTACGGAGTACAAAAATACCTGGTGTACTATATAATATGCGGTAGTGATACTGGTAAAGTGGTAATAGTATCGCATGTTAGGTCTTCAAGAAAAAAAAGTTTTTTTTTGCAGGTTAGGTCTCCAAGGTTTATTAATAGTTGAAGACTTGAAGTATTGTAAGACTAGAAATCTAGAATCACTAGATCGTATTTTTAAAAACAAAAAGTTTTTTTCTTGACGAAGAAACAAAAAGTTTATCACGCCAACTTTATTGTTTCCTTTATTTAAATAAAAAACAAAATATATAGACCTCGTTTAATAGCAGTGAAATCGAATGAATTAGATGGATATGTTGAAATTTATGAAATCCTTACATAAGTGAATGTATTGGCTGATTCAATCAATTTATGAAAATTATATTAATAAAATGAAGAAAAATGTATATGAAAAATAGTTAAATTATTCCTGCGATTTAAATTTGACTTTTAATTACATACTGACAGATAATGAGTGATCTGTAATTTAATTCAACCGATTTGTTTAATTTCCGTTTTTCATTATTTTCACCAAATCTGAACCCACAGCCTAAAATTTGTTCATTGGGGTCGGAGCTCAGCGCCTCAGCCTGTTTCTACATTTCTCACTTAGTGAGTCCGGCCATGCGTTTAACATATCAATCTAACCAGGTGATTTAATTCCACCTCCATTTCCATGTATTCATTTATGTCATATTTTAAACGCTGCAATTGATAACACATTGGGGGCGGGGGTCACCCCAATACGCTGTGGCTTCATGACGATGGAAATCTTATCTTGGTTTCTTTCATGAAATTCAGCCTAAAATCATTTTCTATTATAGAACTTTAGATATGAAACAACAACCTTGCATGGAAATGAAGAACTTTGTAATATAACTAACTTAAATGTAGTAATTACTAATATAAGTTTACTAAAACTGTTACTCGGTATATTTTACTCCTTAATTTTTTTGAAAGAAGATATTTAATTATCGTTAATCAAATCGTTGGCTAAAGCCGAAACAATGAATGAAGGAGGAGAATCAACCCAATACTGCGAATCAGATATAGAACAAGCCCAATTTTACTCAGTAATTTTTTGTTTCCTAAATTTAACTCTATAAAATAAGGTGGAGATTTTACTGTTTGCCCTCCAAATGATGACCACGTTGAAATGTCGTTCACGTATTTTCGTGTGTAAATGTCATACTTCAATTGTCTAAATTATTATAAATGTGGTTCTCGCCCCCATTATAAATGTATCATCTCAAATGATAACATTTATAAGGATTTGGACAAACAAAAAG